AGAACAGTGAGAAGGAAGCAGCCCACCAGACCTTTTAAAGGAGGGAACCGACCAGAAAGGAGAACCTGGATGACCACAAACACACCTCCCCTATCTGTCACCTGCACCCCCGCCCAGGGGTCACTGCCCGACCTTGACCCCACCACCATCTTCCTAGCCACTGTGAATAATTCTTTAATATCTACAGTATCCCAAGGATGAGAACAGCTTAGTAAATCACATCTGTCACAGCAGCATTTGTATGTAGAGGCAGGAAGATTGGAAACCGAATGTCAACCATAGCTGCATTGAAAGTTCTGTACCTGAGCCACGAGAAATCGACAAAATAGGTGGGAAAGTTACTTATAAATGCATTTGCATGAGCTACCCGTTCAAAAAGTAAATAAGATTATTTAAAAATCAACAAAACGAGGTCTTAAAGCCTGTAGAAGGGTGTTGGTCTGAAAAATGCTTGCCCTATGTTGGGCACCCAAGGATTGAGAAGAATACACAAGTAGTGGAGTAAATGCTAACTGGGCCATGGAACAGCCTTTCTGACTGAAGGAGGTGGGGAGCTGACTCGGTTACTAAAGTAATTTGTGCACACACATGAGGCCTAAGCCTTGGGTGACAATGTGTGCTTACAAGCCCAGTGCCCAGAAGCAGAGAAGGGGATCTGTAGGGCATGCTGGCCACCCAGTCTAACCAAATCCAGCATCACTGAAGACCTTGTCAAAAAAAAAGAAAAGAGAAACCTAAAATTGAGCAGGAAGCCAAACATAATTTAACAGTGCAGCAAACATGCTACCATTTCTTTTTCCAACTCACTCGAAAACTATGATCCTACGCAACCTCTAAAGACATGTGCATTGCCTTGCTCGTAACTGCTAAAAAACAGAAGCAGCCAAGAGGCAGTTAGTGGGGAAATGGTTCATGAAATTAAAACCATTCAGCAATAAGAAGTAATAACTATCATGCAATGACTAAAGGAGCTTATCTTTTTATTACTAACTGGTTGTATGTGTGTGTGTGTGTGTGTGTGTGGTATAGGTAAGTATGCTGAGTACATACATGTGCAGGGTGTTGTGCCCTTGTGTCTTTGTGTCTACATGTGGAAGCCAGAGGTCAACACTGTGTCTTTCTCAATCACTCTCCACTGTCACACACCCCCGCCCCGCTTTCTTTAGGACTTAGTTGTTTTTCTTTTTTCTATTTTATGGCTTCTGGGTCTATGCTTGGGGATAGTGTCCCTCCCAAGATTATACAGGTCCCCCTATGTTCTTTTCTGGAGGTTCTACAGTTTTATGGGTTTTATGGGTTTTAAAATATTTTATTTACTAGTTATGGATATAATGTGTTTGGATCCAATCCACCCCATATTCTCTTCCCTTCCAGAACCTACTCAGCAGCATCCAAAGGTAACTTTTCCCTCCCAACTTCATGTGCAGATATCCTCTCTCCCCTCACCCTCTTTCTTTCTCTTCAGTTTTACAACCACTGAATTCATTCAGTGCTGCCTGTATGTGCATGGGTGTGGGACCATCTACTGGAACATGGGTAAGTTCTCAGGGCCTGCATCCCTGGAGAAAAGTGACTATTTATTATGTAGCATTCAGTTGCCAGTAGTGCCACAGGTATGGGTGACACTTTGTGAGCCCCTCCTTCATTCCTGCTAAGATTTTGTTTGGCTTGAGCCTGTGAGGGTCTTGTGCTTGTGCGTGCAGTCCCAGCCCCTGTGAGTTCACAGGCGCAATGGCAAATACTAACCGTGGCGGTTCACTCGCTCCTGCTCTCAGTCTTTCTGCCCCTCTTCCACAGTGGTCTCTGAGTCTTGTAGGGAGGGGAGGTGATATAGATGCCCCATTTAGAGTTGAACACTCCACAATCTCTTACTCTTTGCCTGTTGACCAGTTGTAGGTGGCTGTATTAGTCACCGCCTACTTCAAAAAGAAGTTTCTCTGGTGAAAGTTGAGAGATGCACTGATCTATGAGTATAAAGATAAGAACTTGGAGAGAAGTCTTACTATGTCCATTTAGCAGAATACTAATACTAGGTTCTCCCCTATGGCCTATGGCCTAGTTGGTCACAAACTTCTAGCCCAGTTAATGATACCACGCATGTGTTCTATCTTGCAGAGCTGACTTTAAATTAAATCAAAAAGTATTTGGGTTCTTTTTTTTTTTTGGTGGGGGGGCACTGGAGAAATGGCTCAGCAGTTAAGAGTATTGCTGCTTCTTTTTTTTAAAATATTTATTTATTATGTATACAATATTCTGTCTGTGTGTATGCCTGCAGGCCAGAAGAGGGCACCAGACCCCGTTACAGATGGTTGTGAGCCACCATGTGGTTGCTGGGAATTGAACTCAGGACCTTTGGAAGAGCAGGCAATGCTCTTAACCTCTGAGCCATCTCTCCAGACCCCTTGCTGCGTCTTGCAGAGGAACCCACATGGTGGTTCACAACAGTCTGTAACTCCAGTTCCAAGAAATCCGACACCCTTTTCTGTCCCACAGGCTCTAGGGATGCACGTGGCGCAAATACATCAATTCAAGTTAAACGTGTGTGTACATCAAAAAGTCAACAAATAAGGAAATTTTTAAAAATTAGAAATTGGTTGGTCAGTCTCACAACGTTCATGTCACTACTGCACCTGTGGACATATCTTGCCAGGTCACTTATAACTGGCTGAGGTCACAGCTGGCTAAAAGATAGAGTAAGTTTTTCTTCCTCAGAAGCATGCATAGGACAGTTAATTCATCTGTTTGTATTACTAGTGTGGAGTGATATAGAGATACTTTGTTTTGATCCAGATGACAAAATAGCTGCTCCCAGACTTTGTGCATGGATGGTCTGTTCTTCCCTGATTTGAAATGTCATTGTTAGTAGACTCTGTTTTGTTCTTCACACCCCTTGGTCTACCCTGCAGCTGTAGAGCTGTAACAACATGACTTGTGAGATTCAGCCTCTATTCGGTGGCAGATCTCCTTTAACCAGTTTTCCTATCCTTCCTGGCCTACCAGTGAACCTCATAAAGATCAACTAGTAAAATGATGCAGACCAGAAAGCAGAGAGTAGGTTCCAGAGGTGCTGGCTCCTTTCCATCCACCAGAGGAGGAATCACAACTGCTCCGCGACTACACAGGAGCCGAATACAGAGTGAAAAGGCTCACAAGGTGATCTGGAATGTTCCTGAACAATCTCACCCTGGCAGAGCACCTTTTCAGAGCTGGTAGTTTACATCGCTCAATCGTGAATGCACCCTGGGCTTCTCCAGAAGGTTCTCCAAATGTGCCTGCTTCACAGGCCACTCCAGGGTAGGGGAAGCCCTATGTCATAACCTTACACCTCACAGTGAAGGACAGTACTCCCACCCATCACAGTCTCATAAGGCAAGTGAACATGTTACAAGGCTGTTTTCTTGGAAATAGAGAGGAAAAATAGGACAAAACATAATATTTCTATAAACCACTCCCCGATACGTATATCACTGTGTCATGTGCAGAAGTTACTCCTAACCCAGAGGCAGCCAGAGCAGGTCATGTGATGAAAACACCATTTCTGTTCAACAAATATTTATTAAGCAATCTGTGCTTCACAAAGAGCAAGATTTATTTTTTATGTATATGAGTGCTCTACTGCATGTATGGCTTTATGCCAGAAGAGGGCATTAGATCATACTATAGATGGTTTTGAGCCAACATTTGGTTGTTGGGAATTGAACTCAGGACCTCTCGAAGAACAGCCAGTGTTCTTAACCACTGAGCCATCTCTCCAGGCCAGAACAAAGTGTATTCTCTGTCTCTGCCAAAACCAATGTGCCAGGATCAGGTTGGGCAGCTTGAAGCCAATGGGTCTGTGCTTCAGCCCAGAAAACTTTCCCACCCCTGAAGTTCTCAGCCTTTAGACAGACACACAGGTTTAATAGTTGCTGAAACTGGAGACCAAACTTCATGTCATATTCCACATGGTGCTGTGAGGCCCTCCTCCTCCTCAGGTCAGAAAGAATCATGGGTGCCCTCTGCCTTTCCTGCTCTCCCACAGTGCCACAGCCCAAGGTGGGGTTACTCCCTGTTCTCAGGATGAGAATGTTAAAAGATCTGCTGTCAGAACTGGCTCCATAGCTGCTGAGAAACCCTGTCTCGAAAAACAATGACCAAAAAATCATTACTGTCTTGAAATGGAGATTTGTCTTTTAATATTCACAGGGGTGCCGGTAAACAAAGGCATTTGCCGTTACTGGAAGTGGCGGCATGCTAGGGACCGGGTCGGAGCTCTCTCTCACTCACTGTGCAGTGCTGAGGACTGGACCCGTGTACACGAGGCTAGCACGCTGCTGCTCCACTACTAACCTATGACCCCATCCTAGAATGGGGTTTAGATTTTGAATTATATTTTTTTTTATCCTGTGGGAGTATGGGTGCCACTGCATGACATTCAGAGGAGCACTTGAGAGGGTTGGTTCTCTCCCTCCATCATGTGAGTTCCAGGGACCAGACTCAGATCATCAAGCTTCATGGTAATCACCTTTACTCACTGAGCCATCTCACTGGCCCTAGAGATTTCTCCTAAGTCTTTTTTAGATTTATTTGTTTGTTTTGTGTGTATGAGTGTTCTGTCTGCCTATACATATGTGCACCACATGCATGCCTGGTGCCTGTGAAGGTCAAAAGAAGGTGTCAGATCCCTCAGAACTGAGTTGTAGATGGTTGTGCACCACTGTGTGGGTGATGGGAACTGAACCTAGGTCCTCTGTAAGAGCAGCAAGAGCTCCTTAACCACTGAGCCTTCTCTTCAGCCCCTAGAGATAGTTTTGATAAGGGAGGGAAAAACTGGGTGAGAAATATATACCCTGACTGAGTCTGAGACAGACATGTCCTCGGCAGCCCCAGGACCCTGGGCCAGAAGAAGGAAGCAATCTCACACTGACCAAAGCCTCGGGAACCTGGTATGAAAGCAAGGGGCCACGGCCAGTGCTGATGGCTGCCTCATGGTCAGAATGCCAGCCATTTTTCTAGAACAATCTCCCCCAGGTCTTGAGGACACCCAGAGGGAAGACACAGAGCCTGAATAACCTCCTACTCCATTAAAACTTCTGGCCACTTTTGGGCAAAGAGCTGTCAGCAGCGCTAGCACCAGGGGTAGAGTCTTCAAAACCGTGGTTAACATAGTCTGTGTCGGGGATGGGGTACTTTGGGCTAGAAGGCTCTGGGGCCGTTGCTGCCTCTGTGGCTAGTTTTTCCTCCAGTACCAGATCCGGGTTAACGTCAGGTCCTGCAGAAGAGAAAGAACATAGACCTATGGTCAGAGAGGCATGCGAACGGCGGCACAGAGATATCACAGGCATCGCAGTCAGGAATGCAAAGCTAGGACGTGGGAGCTGGGCTCCGGCTTCATCTGCGCCTCCTGCCTCACCCCAACAACAGCTATTTCACCACCCTCACCAGTCCACCTCAGCAGGCATGCTCTCTCAGAGGGTCCCTGACACCCAGTCTCTCTCTCCCTTTCTCCTGGGGACAGTCTGGTACTGGCACCGCAGGCAGCCCTCCCATGAAAAGCACTCTTCCTTACTCTGTAACACAAACCCATGGCACAGGGCAATCAAGAAGTCAGGCTCTGACTTCTTACCATTGCCTTTCTGGGACTCTGCCTACATAGCCCTAGCTTCAGTGTATTCCTGGCTACAGCTACAGCATTGTGGGTGATAGGCTTGCAAGGGCCTTGGCACTCCCCAGCCCCTATCGGTCTAGAAACTTCCAGCCCATGGCTGGAGCATCTCAGGACTGGTCCATACTGTCCCCAACACACACATTCTCTTCCCCAAAAATGGCCAGTGAGATCCTATAAATAACTCTAGTACCAAAAATAAATAATAAAATAAACTGACTCTGTGGCAAGCATCAACAACTGGTATCAGTAGTCAACATTCCCAGGTTTTCTCCAGGAAGATATTGGATGACAAGGTCAAAGGTTCACCCACAAGGTCAGTCACTGCAGTGCTGGCCACAGTTGTATAGTCAAAAAATAATCTAATGACCAGTAGTTGCAAGCTACCTAAACAAACAGTGGAGGAAGTGAGACGGATGAGGAGACACACTTCTCCCTGGAGTACTTTGGAGTTAAGCACTGTGAATCACCATCTAAAATCATTATCCATTCTAATAAATTCTTTAGATTATATTGTAAGCACTCATTTTGACGTTCACACCCTTACAAAAAAACAAAAAAACAAGATGTTGCAGGATTGGGCACTTTGCCTTCCAAAGCAGTGGCTGTGGGATTCTTCCTTGCTAGTCTGGCTGCCTTGAGACCTCTCAGCCAAACAGCCCCTATGACTGCACCTTCCAGAGGATGAACACGCCCCCTGGTGGTGTTGCTGGAGAACTGTTGTAACTGATGCTAACAGGCAAGGCCCAAAGCACAAGCCAAGTGACGTAATAAATGATAAGAAGGCAGGTTGCAATTGGCCCAAAACAGAGCCTCAGTGACTACAGTTGATGCTAAGAGGCAAGATTGTGATTCCAAACATAAACTGTGCTTGACCAAAATAAAGTATGATTAATAAAAACTCAGAGAGAGAAATTGGGGTTAAACCGGAAGATCCGAAAAGCAAAACATCCAGCCAGCAGCCACTGGCTCTTACCTCAACCTAAGTCTGAAACGACTCCAGGAATCTCAGAATGAGACAGATTGAGAGTTGTCTCCTCCCGTTTTATAATCCCCTCTAGGGCTGGGATTAAAGGCATGCACCGCCTGGTTTCTATGGCAACTAGTGTGACTATTGGGATTAAAGGTGTGTGTTACCATTGCCTGGTCTGTAAGGCTGACTACTGGGGCTGTTTTACTCTCTGATCTTCAGGCAAGCTTTATTTATTAAAATACAAATAAAATGCCACTACACCAAAACACACCTTTTCTTGTTACATAACCAAGCTGCTCCAAGTCTACTGAGGCAGCCTTACGGGCTGCCCCCTGGTGTTGCAACATCAGGCCTCCTGGGTGCCCGCCTTCATGGGTGATCCTTTCCTACTTTGTTTTAGAAGTGTGGCTGAGCTGGTAACAGAACAAAAGAAGTAGCATGGGTGGGACACACGGCACTGGAGGCTTCAGGAGACAGCAGTGAGACAACAGGCTACTTGAAGCCAGGATGCAGCTTTAGAGCAGTCATGGCAGGATGACAGATGGAGACAGAGGGCAAGCGAGGGCAGAGAGCTAGGCTCTAAGGAGATGCAGCAGAGAAGCTGTACGCACAGACCGGGTGGCAGCACCCTAGGCTGAGAGTGGTGACTCTGGAGGCTACAGGGCTAAGGGTCCGCACACCCAAGGCCTACACAAGGGCTGCAGTACAAGGGTGTCATTTGCTGTTGCCTCCACCTGCCTTCTGCCACTGCTGCTCCTGCCAAACACTGAGGGGAATAAAATGCCAGAGACCAGCATTCCCTTTGCCTGCCCATGATTTCTATGCAGGTGAAGAAAAATACAAAACAAAGCAGGTGACAGAGCATACAATAGTACAGTGTTTTCAAACTGAGTTATTACCCACTAATATTAAATGAAACTTGTAGATCAACGCCAGAATTTTCAAAGCAATGATAGGATAGAACCAAAATATCAGAATCCTTCGTGTATTAGAGAAAGTATTATTTTGTAAGCTACTTGTCTTAGTTACTTATCTTTGTGTGCCCACACACATCATTTCTCAGTGTAAAATAGATCTCTATGCTTAGGTGCAACTCCGTGTGCAATATTCTAGGTTCCATCCCCAGAAGCACTGGAAAAGCGTGTGTGTGTGTGTGTGTGTGTGTGTGTGTGTGTACAAAAGTCAGGTTTAAAAAGTGCAACAGGCAACACAGTGTTTAAGACACAGTCAGTTTACAAAGAAACGTGCGTATAGCATATTCAATGAAACACAAAGTAGGAAGTATGGTCACAATCTTGGCCTGGACTCTATGAGTTTTCCAAGGGAGCAGGCACCATTTGGGTCAATACTCAAAGCTATGGCCTCCTGACAGGGGTGGGCACGGGTACTCACCCAGATAGCTGAGGACAACTGGCAGGAAGACCAGGCCATGCAGCAGGCCCAGCAAGGTGATTACGATGTTGAGGCGGAAGAAGAAGATCTGGATAAGCTGGGCCTGAGCAAAGCCCAAGATGAGGATGCCTGGGAAGTTAGTCATGGCCACTCCAGCAAACACCTGGCGGGGGAGAAGGGCCATATCCAGAAGTCAGACAGGACATGGAGGATCCGGCAGAGCACAGGGTGATCCACCTTTCTCCACTCACCGCACTGCCCATGGAGACGGTAGCGTCCTTGGCCCTCTCCAGCCGGGTAGGCTTGGTGCTGACAGCAAAGGACCGGGTGATGTGGGACACAAACTCCACAGACATGCCCACTGCCTACAGGCAGAGAGGGAACTTCAGCTGGCAAGGCAGTAGACAGGGAAGAAAAGGAAACAGGAAAGCAAGCCAGGCAGGTGTCTGGAGCCTGCACAGAACCGAGGGGTTGGCTTACGGGTTCAGATCCCCAACTGCCAAAGGCCACCTGTGGCCTGCTCTGCGAGTTACCGTGACAAGGTTGATGAGGGACACAGCGTTGTAGCTGATACCCCACACAGCCATGAGCCCGATGGTGTCCACGAGGATCATGATGATGGAGAGCAGGTTGAGGATGCCTGAGCGCGCGTCCAGACCCAGCAGGAGGTAGCAGACCACAAAGGTGGGCACGAAGCAGAGAGCCAGTGTGAAGATCCCCTCAGGGAGGACAGTCAGGTACTGCTCGTAGAACACGTTGGAGATCCTGCCAGAGAGCAGGGAGTGGTCAGAGCACCAGCCGTCCGGTGGGAAGGACATCCCATTTCAGAAGGAAAACGTGAGATTCAGAGGTTCAAGACGGATGCTAGCCCGTGTAAGAAGTGAGCAGGCCCCAGGCTACCCCAGGAGACACCAGAGACAAAACTGGCCCTCCTCCCTCAAGATCACTCAAAAGCCTGCAGCCCCCAACATCTCTAGTGTGACTACTACCTCCCACATCCCTGACCCAGCCCCCCAGTTCTCACGTGTAGGGGAAGACCTCGAAGTTGGGGTCTGTGCCGGGCACTTTCCGCAGTTCAGCTGTGATGTTGGCGGCCAGCAGTCGGGACGTCCGGAGAGCTTCTGTGAAATCCTCTGAGTTCCTGAGGGGCTTGTGGTAGGCCATGAACTGAGAGGCTGAAGGACCACAGCACAGGAGAGAAAAGTCAAAGGTCACACCCATCCTCGCATTCCAGAGACAGTGACACAGACACGTGATCGGGCTGGGTTCAGGATTCTGCCAGCGCCACCTGAAATTCCTAATCGATTTTCTACAACAGACCTGCATTTTCTTACTTATTTTTAATGTGTGTGAGTTGTTCTGACTGCATATATGTCTGGGCACCACATGAATTCCTGGTGCCCGTGGAGGCCAGAAGAGGGCATGGGATCCCCTCTAACTGGAGTTAATGGCAGTTATGAGCTGCCATATGGGTGCTGGGAGTCAGACCTGGGTCTTCTGGAAGAGCAGCCAGTGCTCTGAACCTCTGAGCCATCTTCCAGGCCCAAGGCCTGCATTTGCACTTTGCATCAGCCCCGTCCCCCCAACAAAAAAACAAACAAACTATAGTTGCTCCTGCTGCCATTCTCGGAAACCCAAAGTCAGTCATTCAACCGACCTTGACAGTTGAAACCTAAAAGATTACCCCTGGGGCCTAGAGAGATAGCTCAGGGCTTAAGAGCACCGGTTGCTCTTCCAGAGGTGCTGAGTTCAATTCCCAGCAACTACATGGTGACTCACAATCATCTATAATGATATCTGGTGCCCTCTTCTGGCCTGCAGGCAGAACACTGTGTACATGATAAATAAATAAATCTTAAAAAAAAAAAAAAACCACCCCTGTATACCACCTGTAATCACACACCCAGCAGGCTAAGGTAGGAAAATAACTGCAAGTTCAAGGCCAGCATGGGCTAGAGAGTGAGTTACTATCTTAAAATCAAAACAAAACTAAGATCTCCCTGGCAGAACCAAAATCCTCCTTGTGTGCTTCCAAAACATGTACTGGATTTTTTTTTTCTTTTTGAGACAAGGTTTCTCTGTAGTTTTGGAGCCTAGCCTCGAACTCATAGAGATCCGCCTGCCTCTGCCTCCTGAGTGCTGGGATTAAAGACGTGTGCCACCACCGCCCGGCTCATGCACTGGATTTTTACACACAAATTTAGCCTGGTTTTCGTTGAAGTGTGATGCTTCATTCTTATGGTCTCAGTACTTGGGGGGCAGGAGGATCAGGCATTTAATACTACATAGAAAGTTCTAAACTAATGTGGGCTATGTGAGAACCTGTCTCAAAAAATATTAATTTTTCAGTTTGCCCATTCCTAAAGGAACAGACTAGAAAGAAAGACAGGCAAACAAAATGACTGGATTATTAGAGCCGTGACTTAGGAATCCTGCCAATAAGGACAATTGTATTCTTTTTTTTAATTTTTTTTTCAAGACAGTGTTTCTCTGTGTAGCCCTAGCTGTCCTGCCACTCGCTCTATAGACCAGGCTGGTCTTGAACTCACAGAGATCCACGAGACACACAGACTTAAGGTACTAGGTGCCTGTGGAGCCTGACGTCAAACCTGAGGGGCACCTGCAGGTAGTTCACAACTAGAGGCATGATCATCCCCATCCAGAGATATGGTCTAGCAAGTCTCAGGCGACGTTTTCCTGACGATGCTGATACTGTTGTGTGGCGGGGGGGGGGCGGGGGGGGCGGGGCTCTCACTTGGAAAAGTGCTGCTGTGGGGTATTAAGGTCCATGATGGATGCAGACCTACCCTGGGTTATGTGGGGCAGGGTTCCCTCCAAGAAACAACCCACCCCTCCGTCCTTGACACCCCACTCCCTTTTGACTACGTGGGGTCTGCATGCCCTGAGATGAGGACCAGGTGGGCTGCCTTCTTGGAAGATGGGAACTTCATAGAAGAGTTAGCTGAGAGAATGGGGTGAGTGTGCTACAGTTGCAGTTAGTAAAAAATGAACTCATTCGATGCTTCCACCCCTGTGCCAGCTCCACAGGGTCCTCAACACAGATCTCACCGTGGCTGGCTCCCTCCAGGCAGACAGCTATCTGGCTCTGCTACCTGCTGTGCTATGCTGATAACACACTGGATCCTTCTCCCCACCAGTCCGACTTCACCCCCCTTGTTGCTGTTGACGGCTCTCGGGCTTGCCCTACACAGTGGCATCCTACCTCCTTTAGTCAGCAGCTGCTGCTGACATCGCCATATGACACACACACGAGTGACTATGTGTTGACGTGGGTGGCTCCCAAGTATGACAGGAGCTCTTAGAAAGGCTACCATATGTTCACAGTGGCTTGGACTGGGGGTGAAAGAATGAGTAAAGTCCTAGCTCATGGAGTTGGGAAGTAGGCTCCTTGCTGACAAGCCCAGGACAATCACACACACATGCATGCACGCGCGCGCGCACACACACACACACGCATATCAGACACACAGGCGCTCTTGGGGGACTCTAAAGCAACTAGGTGACTTGAGACCTCCTCCCCAAACTAGCCATACTTACCTATAACCTGGCCATCTGAGCTCAGATTCACGGAGGTGCTATACGCTGCTAGACCCCTGCAAAGAAGAGGCCAGAGCAGAGGCTTAGTGGGGATGAGACCTTGTCCTGTCAACCCACCCACTGTATCCCAGGGAAGCCATGACTGGACACTTCTGTCCCTCTGGGTCCACCATCTCCAGAATCCAGCAAGAGCCAATCTCTGAACGTACCCTTTGGGACATCTGATGTTGGGTGGGTCGTTCAGGAACCAGGGCAGGTACTTGTCAAACTGTTCTGGTGTGGGCCTCACGGGGCCCAGCGTGAAGCTCATGCAGTTTCTTAAACAGTTGAAGGAAGCTGTAGGGAGGAGGGACTCTGGGCAGTGACACAGAGGGCACGGCAGCTCCTGTTGTGACTCCCTCTCTGTGCCCCAATCTAAAGTCCCCAGTGTTGAGGAGTTTACTCCTGCAACCCCCAATTGGGGGAGATGTGCCCCTCTTGGTCACTACAGGATGGTAGGAAAGGGACCTTAGGTGAAGCACTGGGTTCTTTCACACCTATAAACACAGCACCGTCACACACAGGGCCACAGCTCCACTCCCAGCTCTACTGACCACTGCCCACAACCAGCATGTTCTACAAGCAAAGGCATAAGACCCCAGGGATGCACAAGTACAGGTGCCTAAGGCCTAACCTGCCAGAACCCTATGGGTGTGGTGGGGTAACTGAGAGCCTTACCAATCTTGTCTCCTCTCTTGCCTCAATTTCCCTAAGCTGTAATGGGCAGTGAGCCCCCTGCAGCCCCACACTCACTGTCAGTTGAAGGACAGAATTCATCCTTATTGGGACCAAAGGTATAAAGGCGGCAGCAGGTGGATGGAGTCAACCAGTCGATGAAGTCATCTACCCAGGAGGATGCAGGGATCGCCAGATAAGACCTGAGGCCAGACGACGAAAAGCAGGGAGAGCCAGTGAGCCTGGTGACTCCTTCCCGAGCCCTGCACTGGGCCTCCTCTGGCCTTGCTAGCTGCAGGGGCAGAGCATGCAGGAAGAGAAAACAGGAGAGGAAGAAGGGAAGGGGCAAGTCGGGGTGCCGGGGAGACCAGCCACTTACTCTTCAGGGAATTCAGTGGCATACTGGATCTTCTGGGTTAGAGAGAAGCTGTCACAGCCTGCGCTAGAGCAAATGGCATTCATGCCTGCCTCGCTGGAGAAGTTGTAGCCCGAGGTGGTGACAAAGTACACTGGAGGCCCCACTTCAAAGTATCGGTTCAAAAAGAGGAAGTAGTCGATCAGGTAGGAGTCCTGGAAAAGAAGGGACTCTCTGAGTCTCGGGAGACCGTGTGCACCCAGTTCATTACAGAGGTGCATGCTGAACAGTCCATGCGAATGTACCTACTGAGGTAAGCCGAGAAGTATACAGAGGAGCATGTCTAGAGGTACACACACACACAGTGTACACACGGATAAACACTCAGATATGCGTGCTCAGAGGCACATGGAAGGGAACTCACTCAGATGTATCCAGAGTGCATGCACACATATATACAAGACACAGACTGAGGTACACACAGAACCATGTACTCAGAGGAACAGGCCCTGACACACACATGAAGTACACACCAAGAAACACACAGAGAAGTCTCAGGAGACATCAAGTAAACCTATATATGCATTGTAAGAATTTCAGAAAGAGAAGAAAAATTAAAGAAACATTATTTGAAGAAATAATAGCCAAAAATTCCCCCAAATTGAAGAAAGACATAAATATAAACATTAAAGGAACTCAGGCAAGGTCTAATAGAATGAATTCAAGCAAATCTAGCCCAAAGCACGTGGTGGTACGACTGTCAAAAGCCAACATCAAAGGGCATTGTAGACAACACGAGAGAAATTCTTGTCACATGGAAGGAACACAATGCAGCCATTCCCACACTCCTCAGCAGCAAGTTTGGGATGGTGGAGTTATATATTCAAAGTAGGAAAGGGAAAGTCTTTCAGAGAGGAGGGCTGGGGCGTAGCTCAGGTGCTTAGCTTGCAGGGAGCCAGTAGCTTAGGACTAGTGTGGTGATGCACACCTTTAGTCCCACGACTCGAGAGGCAGAACCAGGCGATCTCTGTGAGTTTAAGGCCAACCAGATGAATGCAGTGAGTACATAGTGAGACCCTGTCTCAAAAAAAAAAAATGTATAGGATGGTATGGTTCTTAGAAGAAAGGAAAACATAAGCAAACAGAAGCACATCCCATGTTCACAGTCTGGATGACAAATATTGTTCCAGTATCAGTACTACCAAAAATAAAACCACCAAAAGATTCACTGCAGGGCTGGAGAGATGGCTCAGAGGTTAAGAGCATTGCCTGCTCTTCCAAAAGTCTTGAGTTCAATTCCCAGCAACCACATGGTGGCTCACAACCATCTGTAATGAGGTCTGGTGCCCTCTTCTGGCCTGCAGGCATACACACAGACAGAATATTGTATACATAATAAATAAATAAATAAATAAATTTTTTTTCAAAAAAAAGAAAGGAATTCACCTACTGAATCAAAGCAGGGTGGGACGGCCATGAGAGCAAGCACAGAGACCAACGGAGCACAGTAAAGATACACAGGCATGTTTGGGAGGTTTGTTTTGGTAAGGGTGCCAAAGCCATTTTATGAAGGAAAGCTATATTTTATTTTTAGTAAATGGTCCTGAGGAAACTGAATAAAATTAAAATCTGGACATTTCCACAGCATCATTTATAAAGATCAACTCAAAACCAGGTGAACATCTTTAGCCCTAGCACTCAGGAGGCAGAGGCAGGCAGATCTCTGAGTTCAAGGCCAACCTTGTCTACAGAGTGAGTTCTAGGATAACCAGAGTTACACGAAGAAACTCTATCTCAAAAACAAAACAGAACAAAACAAAAAACTCAAATGAATCAAAGGCTTAAGTATGAGATCTAAAGCTATGAAAAACCTTTAGGAGAAACAGGAGGAACTTCATTGCTTTGGATGACAACTTATGCTGGAGAGGTTGTGGGGGAAAGGGAACACTTCTGCATTGCTGGTGGGAATGCAAGCTGGTACAACCCCTATGGATGTCAGTGTGACGATTTCTCAGAAAATTAGGAAACAACCTTCCTCAAGACCCAGTAATACCACTTTTGGGTATATATCCAAAGGATGCTCAATCGTGCCACAAGGACATGTGCTCAACTATGTTCATAGTAGCTTTGTTTGTCAGAGCCAGAAAAAAAAAATGTGGTACATTTACACAATGGAGTACTACACAGCAGAAAAGAATAATGATAGCTTGAATTTTGCAGGAAAATGGATGGAGCTAGAACCCATTATTTTGAGTGAGATAACCCAGACACAGGAAAACAATTATCACATGTACTCACTCATAAGTGGCTTTTAAACATAAAACAAAGAAAGCCAACCTACAAACCACAATCCCAGAGAACTGAACAATGCCAACACTAAGAGAGACTTACATAGATCTAATCTACATGGGGAGAAGAAAGTAGAAAAAAAAAAAAAAAACAAGATCGCCTGAGTAAACTGGGAGCTTGGGGACCCTTGGGGGAGAACTGAAGGGGGGAGGGGAGAGGCAGGGAGGGTGCAGAGAAAAATGTAGAGCTCAATAAATATCAAATATATATATATATATGATCTAAAGCTATAAAAAAACTTTAGGAAAAACAGGAGAAACTTCATTACTTTGGATTTAGCAATCAGGCAACAAAAGGAAAAGACTGGCTATTTTAAAATGTTTCACATACCAAGACACACTACCACTAGAATAAAAAGGCAGCCCACAGAAAGAGAAAAATGTTTTGATAATTAGGTCTCCGACAAGATGTCAATCTCCTAAACACACAGGGAACTCTTAAGCCTCAGCAACATCAACAACAAAAAGCCAATTCAAAAATGAGCAAAGGACTTAAACATGTTTTTTTCTTACATAAGATATACAGACGATCAATATGTACATGAAAAGATGTCTAACATTTCTAGTTGTTGAAAATGCAAATTGAAAGTACTATAAAGCATCAGCACTGCCAGGAATCTCAAGAGACCAAAACAAGGGGACAGGGTGTTCCAGACTGGGCTACAAAATGAGACCCTGTCTCAACAAAACAAAAGAATCACTACAAACAGATAGATACTACTTGAACCCTGTACCATGACTTATTAGAAGGAGGAGGAAGAAAAGGAAGAGGAAGAAGAGGAAGAAGAGGAAGAGGAAGAGGGAGAAAGAGAAGAAGAAGAAGAAGAAGAAGAAGAAGAAGAAGAAGAAGAAGAAGAAAATGATGATGATGAAGGTAAGTTCCTGGACAGCCAGAACTGTTACACAGAGAAACCCTGACTCAAATCAAACAAACAAACAAGCATGCAGACAGGGTAAGATTTTATAGTTTACTGATAAAGCGCTTTCCCAACAAGTGAGAGATCCCAGAGTTGATCCTCAGCACCAAAAATTAAAAGCACAGAAAAATAACAGATGTTGGGGGCTGGTGAGTTGACTCAGCAGGTAAGAACACATGTTGCTCTTGCAGAGTACCTGAGATCAGTTCCCACCCAACACCCACAGGGCGGCTCACAACCATCTGTAACTTCAGTCCCAGGGGATCTGACACCCTCTTCCTGACCTCTGCAAGCACAGGCACCCAACTGGCACACAAACATACATGCCAACAAAACATTCATACACATAAAAGTAATAAATGCCCCCTCCAAAATCATCAGTAAGGAATTCACATAGAAGGAAATGGCTGTCCCTGTGTGGATAGCCACGTGGAGAACCCTCTGATGCAGGGCGCCTACTGTGGCCTGAACCAACACTCAACCCGTGCACTTTACAGACATGGATGTGGTTTCCCATGGTGCCAAGCCTTGTCTCATGTGCTCCCCCCACCCCACCCTCTGGGCACTGCTGCTTCTCCCAGGTCTCAGGACCAAGGACTGAGACGAGGCCACTCACCTTGGGCAGAGCCAGCTCCTGGTCCAGTCCCACGCTGATGTGACACATGAAGTAGAGATTTGCTCCAAACAGGGCCAGAAACAGAAGCATCTGAGGGAGAAACTGGCACATGAGAACCCCTCCCCAAACAGCCTCATCTTCCCCCAGACTTGAATGACATTATCAGGCATTCTGAGAGACATCCTGGCGCTGAGAACCCCTCCCCAAACAACCTCACCTTCCCCCAGACCTGAATGGCATTATCGGGCATTCTGAGAGACATCCTGGAGCTGGGAAAACTCGAGCTCTAGCCTCAAGTATCTGCCCTGGACCTGGGCAGCCCACACCCCCCCCCCCCCCGCCAATGTTCTTGGCCTTTCTGCTAAAGTGGTACAGCTGCCTCAGCCCACGTACCACAACAGGGCGAGTGATCCTGTGCAGCAGGAAGGGAGCATATATCTTTCGGAAGAAGCGGAGTAAGAGTCCCTCGTTTTGTTCAGGTGGAGGTAGTTTCCGGGGTGAAAGGCAGCATAAGATGTCTGGGCGAGAGGCCTAGAGCATGACAGTCTCTCAAGATCATGTCCAAGGCAGACCCCAGAAACCACCCCACCCAGGGAAGCTCTGGAGATGGCCACTGCAGTTTTTGTCGCTTTTATTTCCTGTCTCAATCAAATACTGAATTTTACATCACTAAAAAACCACCAGCTTGACTACTGTTAACTTTCTAATTTATTATGTAAACTTATATAATTTTAGGAGGTCTAATGATACTTCCAAAAATAAGTAAAAATAAATTCTCTTTCTATGGAAAATTACAGAACACACATCCCAAACATCCTCTGTCAGAATAATGCCCCTGACTCCCACCCAGCTCTCTTGGCTACCTTTGTGGTCATAATGCCACATCTTTCAGTGAACATAGCAACCCAGGCAGGGTAAGTTCCTTGGTCCTGGCCCAGTTGGCTTTACCTCTTGCCTCTTGCTATCCAGGGAGAGCAGGGCCACGAAGGCCGTCATCTGGAGCAGGAAGTCGAGGATAATCGCTAAGCCAGCGGTCAAGGCAAAGGTCCTCACAGCCGGCATGGGGGTCAAGGCCCCTGTTGGGGACACAGGATCTGTCAGATCATCCTGGTTTCATGGACCGGATGTCAGCACAGAGAGTTTAAAGCAGGAAATGCCCACTGCCTTCCGAGAAACTCGGCCCCCATGGAGAATAACCTAGCAGGCCAGCTCCTGGGTGGAGGACAGCCCTCGCTCACCTAGGAAGAAGCAGATGGCCTCAGAGAGGCTGCACAGCAGCATGCTGGGTGCCACACTGCCCAGGGTACGGCCAATGTGGGCCTCTCGCTGTTCCCCAGGCATCCTAGGCAGCCTCTGTGTGGGCAAAGAGACAGAATGTACAGGGTCTGCCATGATCACCAGACTCTAAAGGCCAGCAGCAGCGTGGTAAAGGACTTCAAGTCCTGGCCAAATCTGAGCAACTGCCAGACCTTCTACTAACAGCCCTACTAACAACTCACAACCACACCTTCCGCTTCTGTGTTGTGGCCTAAAGGACCACTTGGTGCATTCTAGATATGAAAAGGACCAAGCATTCTTGTCACTAAGTGTTTGACAGCAAAGAGAGGCTAAAGGACTCTGGTTTGTGCTTTCCATGGATGCCACACACAGTAGTGTAAAGGCAGGGAAGAAGTAACCCTAATGCATGGCTACAGAAAACTCACTGGACACCGTGTGCTTAACTGAAAGCAAATTCAAGATGACACTGCATGCTGTGGGGTAGTGCTCTTGCACGTGCGTTGGTTTAATAAAATGCTGATTGGCCAGTAGCCAGGCAGGAAGTATAGGCGGGGCAACCAGACTAAGAGAATTCTGGGAAGAGGAAAGGCAGAGACATAGTCACCAGTCAAACACAGAGGAAGCAAGATGAGAATGCCTCACTGAGAAAAGGTACCAAGTCACATGGCTAAACATAGACAAGAATTATGGGTTAATTTAAGTTGTAAGAGCTATTTAGTAATAAGTATGAGCTAATAGACCAAACAGTTTATAATTAATATAAGCCTCTGTTTGGAGACTGAATGACTGTGGGACCAGGCAGGACGAAAACTTCCATCAGCAAGTAGTGTGAATAAATTTGTGTCAACCCACGCCATTTCCTACACATATAAGCCTGAGTAAGAAGTCTGCAAGTATGTCAGCAATTCTATGTGGGGCTTTGTCTAACGAGGGTGTCGTGTTGCTAGAGGGTATAAAGAACCCCTTCTTTCTTACCTGGTACTCAAGAACAAAGATGAAGATGTTGTCAGCTCCCACGGCCAGCACCAGGAAAGGTACCACTTGGATGATAACCAGAGAGGAGGGGACACGCAGGTAGGAGTAGAAGCCCATGGCAGCTATGACTGCTCCCAGCACAACAGCCACCCCGCCTAGGCCCAGAGTAGCCTTGGAATCCACCTGCAATGCAGCTAGGCTCAGCCTGTTGGCTACCAGGGCACCTGCGCAGATTCTCCTTACTCCCCAGGTTGGGTGAGGAACAGGCAGGTCCTCTTGGTGCTCACACGTGCTCAGTGCCACCCACTTCAATGAAGAGCCCATATGTATATTTAAGTCTCTATGCTGTACCATTCTTCCAGGGGCAGGCCCATGGCTCCCAAAAATGCAGGTGTGCCTGGCTACATCTTCCAGAACTGCATGGCATGGCCTTTTACATGGTAACTTTGTGTGTGGACAGTGGGTATATGCTAGATTACAGGAAGAAAACTTGGGGCCTTTCAACACAGACCATATCCAAGAAATACTACCCTTTGAGGGGTTCCTTTCAAATGGGTCTAACTTGCTAGGTTAAGGAGCCCTCCCTAAGACTGCATTCGAAGGCCCTCTAGAGCTGTCCTAGGCTCGGGGTCCCTCTTGCTGTGTCCCTCCCGCTCTCACCGCTATTCGGTTCCATCTGGAGTAGCTGCCCAGGGCCAGAGAGATGTACAGGAAGATGATAATGTAACTGCTGGCGAAGACAGGCAGGTCCTGAATGGTGGTGCGGTTGATTTCATCCTCCAGAGAGCGCTGCGAACACACAACCAGGTCACTGACCACCTACTGGGTTTCCCTGTGGAGCAGCCCACTGCATGCTCTGGGGAGCTACAGGAGCCTCTAACGGGTGCCATATTGGGGTGGGCACAGGCTTTCACCTAGGGCCATTCAGGAACAGGTAGAGCCAGGATGTGGATTTGACTGGAACTGACCCAGAACCATTAGGGAACTGCAAGCACAGAACCCGGAACTCTGCAGGGTCCCTACCTCGGCTGAGAATGCAACTTGGAACTTGTCAGCCGTGCTGCTCTGGAAGGCTTGCATTTCCTTCAGAAAAGCCTCCTCCCAGAGCCTGGCCTGGGCCATGCGGGGATCGTCAGCAGGAAAGTTATTGAGAGAGAAGGTTATGATCAGCGCCTCTGCCTCCGAGTAGTCCGTCCCTGGAGAGAGCAACTCTGAGCCTCCCTTCTAATGCCCCCTTGTCCCTCTTTCCCTCGGGGCGCACCCTTCTCCCATTCCTGTTCCTCTCCTGCTTCCTCACTCCAACAATGCCCTTATCCCATCCTCCAGTTCCCCCGCCCAGCCAAAGGCACAAAACCAGAGCTCCCCAGCAGCATTAAGAGCCAGGAATGGCAGAGGGGAGGTAGAAGCATCCTCTGCAGCCTCCTTAAGCCAGGCACCCAGGCACTGGAAACATCTATCACTATGGCCTCTCCCTTAGCCTCCCAGGGTCTACCCCACTTACCTTGATACCCCCCAACAGCAAGGAAGGGGAAGACAGGGGCCCCGTAGTCAGCTATGCAGCTCAGGGCCAGAGACGTGCCGTCTTTGAATGTGAGAGGGGCACTGGAGGGAAACCACAAAGGGAAAGATACTTTCTTGCCCCTGCCTGCTTCCTTTGGCCCCACCCTACAGCTCCAGCCTACAGCTCCCTACAGGCCCTCAGCTCCCCGAGGGAGGAGCAATGACTTCAGACTACCTGGCCCAGAGGGTTCAAAATGACCATCTTGCCACAAGGTGCTCTCATGTGGTTCCCCTAGTCCACAGAATGGGGTAGGGGCTGCCTTGGGCATCTCTCTTGGACAGGTACTGTAATGATGGGCTCTCTGTGTATCTCAGGTCCCCTCATAGCCAACCATAGCCAAACACTCCAGACCTGTCATTACTTCAGTTCCAAATGAGCATCACAATGAAGCAGTGAGCCCAGACTTGAGCCATGACCATCTCCAGCACAGGTCTCAATGCTGCCCTTCTCCACCCTCCCAGAGCCTGGACCCTCCAAGTGTTGAGTTGAGCCCTGGAACTCAGAGCCACGTGTCTTACAGCCACCCAGTCAGGACTCTTGGACAGGTTTGTCCCTGTCAACGAAATGCTTTCTACAGAACACATCCCTGTGGAGACAGAGCAGATTGCCTACACAAAGCTCCTTACACACATTCTCAGCACGAAGGAGTGTACCAGTCAACAGCACCATCTAAAAAGCACCAGATTGCTGTGTGACCTTAAGCAGTTTACCAAACCACTCTGGGCTTCAGCTTTCCAGTCTGTGAAATAAGCATAATCAGCTCACTTAAGAGTTACATGTGCCGAGCAGCGGTGGCGCAGACATTTAATCCCAGCACTCGGGAGGCAGAGGCAGGCGGATCTCTGTGAGTTCGAGACCAGCCTGGTCTACAAGAGCTAGTTCCAGGACAGGCTCCAAAGCTACAGAGAAACCCTGTCTTGAAAAATAAAAAAAGAGTTACAAGCATCCAAAAGCAAAATAAAAATGGCACAAGTCGGCACTTCACTGGGTTTCCAATAGGTTGTTTTCTCTGTGAAGGAGCCTAAATTATTTTTTGATGGAGTCTTTTGGATTAAATGGGTGTCGTGTGAGTGCCTTCTGTGGTGGCTTTCGAGTAATTGGACAGCTGTTGTCAGTTTCCTCACAAAGTAAAAGATGTGACCCTGAGTGTAGCAGTTCTCATAAGGACCCCTGGACTAATCATCTCTGTGTTAAGATTCCCTCTGCTCCCTGAGATACAGAAGCAAGTGGTGCAATACTAGCCTGGGACCCAGTGTCAGCCACACTGTTCTTTTGCCCACTCGAGACCAGTAGTGACATCTGTTAGCCTGTTTAAATGCCATCTGGGGTTTGGGAGACTGTACTGTAATGTCATGTTTAAATGTTTGACTGAGTTAATTCTAAGGGCACTTGTTCCCAGAACTTTCTCTCTGAAGTCCAAAGTTCTAATAAAGCAGTGACTGTACAGGAGTTTACTTGTAAATCAGGCTGCATGATGGCTCCTTCTCCCATATTAAAATATGAAAAAAAAAGATGGTACAAGCTAAGCATGATAGCACAGGGCTGCAATCCCCGTTCCTCAGGGGGCTGAGAGAAGAGCATGAATTTAAAGACAACCTCAAATAGTGTGACTTTATCTGAAAACAAAACAAAATAACACAGCAAAAAAAAAAAAAAAAACAGAAAAACAAAAAATCACACAGCATCTAGGATGGCTGATCCCTGATGCCTCTCAACGGCCCCTCTCTGTTCGACTGTATCTGAGGAATAATGCAGACACCCTAAGAAGCAGCTCACACTTGACACTTAGCTGAAGATGGACAGCCAGTAGCAGGGAGAGACAGCAAAGGCTTCCTCCTTTAGCTTTGGAACCTGTCACGGAACTTGCTCTGTAGACCAGACTGGCCTTGGACTCACAGAGATCCACCTGCCTCTGTCTCCTGAGTGCTGGGATTAAAGGGGTGCACTGCCACTGCCTGGCAATGTAGTGGATCTTAAAGAATGTGGGATCTGCCTAGGATCTGCAGGGTCAAAGCTGTTTTCCTAGCAGCATTTATGCCGTTGGCTGTGGTAACCCTCACCTGTTCTTAAGTGCAGGGTGGGGAGAAGGCCCTTTGGGGCCCTTCACTCTCCATTCTTTCTCTAGGAGCCTCCACCACTACGGGTCCTCTCACCACCCTTCCCTTGGCCCAGTGACCTTGCTGGCATCCTGTTTATACTACTCCCAACATGGACAAAGCCAGAAACAGAACCTCAGCAGCATCGGGGGATAAATGAAACTGCCCTAGAGCACCTGACCTGGTACCCAGGACCAGAGACCAGCCACAGTCTTGGTCAAGCCCAAATGAACTATTTCTAGCCAAATCCTAGGCTACCAAAAGCCCTACAGATCCTGGCGCAGTCAGGGAAGCAAAGCAGTGCAAGCACAAAGGCTCCCTGAGCTGTCACCTTTAGATTTAAATAACTAAGACGATACCCAGGGCAGGAGAGGGGGCTCAGTTATTAAGGGTCTTGCGGAGGACCAGAGTTCGGTTCCCAGGATCTACCTGACCGCTTACAACTGACCTTCATGTCAGTTCCTGTGAATCCAGCAACTTCTTCTGGCCTCTGCAGCATCAGGCACATGTACAAGCCATGCACACACAAACATTCAGGCAAAATATTAGTGCATATGAAATGAAAATAATTTTAAAAAGTATTAAGACCACAGCAGGGACATCACGGCAAAAAAGATCGTATGGAGCTGGAAGGACTATGAAACCCAATGTGCTGCAGAGAGCGAGCATAAGACGGGAGTGAGCTCTAAGAAGGGGCGCGAACAGACTCGGGCGGAACACATAGGAGAGCTCCCTGACTCTGAAAGATGGAGCTGCCCTCCGGCCTGTTTCCTGGGGGCAGAGCAGCACCTATTGTCCTCAGATCTACTCACTTGGCACAGTAGAGGAAGTGGTCCTTCCAGTCCACCAGGGAAGTCTGGCCACCGAGGGTCTGGTTGGCGGTAAGCAGCAGGAGCGTGCGATTGTTCTGGAAGTACTGAAGGAGGCTGTTGACACAGCAGTCCGAGAGGGTGGTGTTGTGCGGGTTGAGGGGGGCGTAGCAGATGTCCTGCAGGGAGATGTTGCGCCCCGCCTCCGGGGACCACACCTGCAGGTGGCGAAGCCTCTCTTGGAGCTCCAGCAGCTCCAGCAGTAGGTCCAGGGACAGGATCCCGCTGAAGTTCTTGGGCCCTAGCAGCAGGGAGTCATAAAGGTAACTGGACCTGTTTCGAGCTGTCACAAAAACCTGGTTGGTTCGGAAGAAGGGGCCGAAATGCTCGTCGTGGAAGGCCTTCTCTTTCCGGGCTTGACTTTTGGGGGCTGACCACAGTTCCACGGGGTCTGTGGTGAGTTCTATATACATCATGCCTACTGACAGGGCTATCACGACCACGAAGGACAGTGCCAAGACGGTGAGTGGCCAAGAGGCCACTTTTGTGCCCCAGTTCTGGAAAAACCGGCCAAGGACAGTGTGAGGTGAGAATCTGCGCTTACGAGGGCGGTTGGGGGTTTCCTGGGGGCTTGTTGTCTTGCTCTTTTTCCTGTTGGAAGCCACTCGAAGACGCACAAGGACAGCAGTGAGCAACACAAAGACCGCACTGAAGATAATGATGAGAGCCAACCAGCCTGGCATTTTACCCATGTAGAACGAAGGGGGCAGCGCCGGAGGCCGAGCAATGACGGGACAAGACGCTGCACAGTCCTGGCAGGAACAGGCTGCCGAGTCTGCACCCTGGGACTCATTGCATGGTGCGATTTCCGCATTCAGAGGCTGTATCCCCTCTGCCAGGGCCTGGCCAGGCTCCACGAGGTGGAAGGTGATGTCCAGCGGAGCCAGGCCATTCCCTGTGTCTCCCTGGAAGTTGAGCCAGCGCTGGGCATTGCAAAGGGCCGAGCCGTAGACCCCACACATGCTGCCCACGGCCAGCGAGGCAGCTGCAGGGATGCGTACCCGGCTACAGGACTCATAGGCCGCCTCAGCAAAGCTGCGCTCGTAAAAGGTTTCATAGGCCACCACAGCCGGAAGCTGTGAAGAGTCCTTCTCAGCCACACGGGTGACATTGATAAAGAGGCTCTGGTTAGGGCTACAGGTGTTTTGGCAGTGTATGCTCACAAAATTGTCAGAGCAGGCGGGGCAGCGGGTGAGGAGAGCCTTGGTGATAGACATGCTGCTCTCTAATGATAGCAGCTGCCTGGGGGAGCAACAGGCAAAGGTGGTATTGGGGCCATTGTACAGGCGGGGACAGATGCGCTGGAGGAGGGCCAGGTGTTCCCCTGTGACATGGCGGGCTGGGGTATTAGACAGGCAAGATACATTGGACAGTGATGTGAGGCCTCCAGACAGCTCTGGATTCTTCCCACACTCTTCATAAAAGGTGCAGAAGCCAGCCTGATGGATGGGTGTGTAGGGATCCCCCTGGGCCTGCAGAGAAGACCAATAGTATCCATTAGCCCTGAAGCTGGTTGGCCCAGTCGGGTACCTTCTGGACAGTGAGAAGCCAGAGAAAGAAGGATGTAGGTGGAGGCTGCTTGTTCATTCTCAGAAGCCCAGACCCGAAATAATCACTCAGAAACTATATTATTTGCAATATTGTTTGGTCAATAGCTTAAGCGTATTGCTAGCTAGTTCTTATAGCTTTGGTTAACCCATTCCTACTCATCTGTGTATCGCCAAGTGGCTGTAGTTTACTGTCAAAGTTCCAGCGAGTCTGTCTCTGGTGGCAGATTCATAGCTTCTACTTGTCTCCTGTTCTCTCCTTCTCTATCTGCTTGGAACTCCCACCTTGCCCTATTCTGCTAAGCCACTGGCCGAAACAGATCTCTTCATTAGCCAATAAAAGCAACACATAGACAGAAGGACCTCCCACACCAGAAGGAGAGCACGCAGAGGGCAGGGAGAGCCGCGGGGAGGTTTGTGTGGCATGGTCTATGCTTAGGGCGCCAATGGAGGGATATTCTCCCAGTGGATAGAGACAGGGTTACTAGGAAAAGGAGTCTTCTGATAGAGTGTGGCTTTAAAAGGCCATGCTTCAGAGGAGATGGGGAGGTGCTGTCAGTCTGAGTCTCTAGACTGTACTCCACACTGAGGCCAGAGGCACTTGTCTTTATAAGTCAGTATAAGACCCTCCTGTCCTACATCCTGCATTACCAAATGCCAACCCCCACCTCTGAGAACAAACAAGGATAGTAACAGGGCCTCCTCCCAAACCCAGAATATTTCAGGGGATATTCACCCAGGATCCACCTCCAGCACCCAACTCAGTCCCCACTTAACCACAGGCAAAGGCCCCATTCTTTTGCCTCTCTGACCCTCTGTCCCTTCAACCCCTTGACCAACTCCACCAGCACTTACTTCTGGGCATGGGAAACCTCCCCTAGCTGTGTGACCCTTCCTGACTATCAGACACCCGGCTTGCCTTGCCCTAATGGGAGACACTAGGAAGTAACCGTGAGCAATGGACTCACCGAATTCAGTAGGAGGGCCCAGAGCAGCCATCCCTTCAGGCCAACTGCCATCCCGGGTCAGGAAGCAGAAGTAGGGCCGGGCCTCAGGGACAGCTGGGGAGGACTGAGGACTGGCTCCCAAAGTTGCACATTAAGGCCGCCTCCTCCTCCTAGTGACAACACGTCTGGCAGGATTAGGACCAATAGGGCTGTGAACTTCTGGTTAATCATTCACGCACCCTGTCCCCTCCTATCAGATGGCTCCCTTCCATGTACCCCCTCTTAGGTGAACTTCCTAGTGAAGGTACTGGAATCCCCACTCACTTCCTGGTGCAACCCAAGTCGAATGCCGCTCGAGCCAGCTGGGCAAGAGATGCAGGGTTGTACTTCTACTAGACCAGGCCCTGGCCTGGTTTTGGCCTGAGGAGCTCAATGGAGCTGCAGAATGTCAACATTATGCCGGGCTTGGCCTCCAGTCTGCACTCTGACCCATCACCTCTTGAGACCAACATCAAGTATAGGCTCTGTCGACCTAGCAACTGATTAATTGATATTAGCACCCAGATAGTAAAGGGACACTGAGGGTACAGTGATTCAGTGATGAAAGTCCCTTCGGGTTCTGAAAGGGGACGGAAACCAGGGATTCATTTGATCCCTTTGCCCTTCCTCCCCACTCCTGCTCGGTCCCTTTCTTGGCTCTGGCCCTGGCCTAGTCCACTGAACAACTCTGGTTAGGTGACCTGGGTGGCAAATCCCACTCAACCTGGGCCCATGGTCCTCCTCCTGCTTCTTTCCAGTAGGAATCTTCCAGTCTCTCCTTGGGCTCGTGCTGTCACCAAGATGGGCAAGGACCTTGGCCCCTGTTGCCAAAGCTGAGCTGCTGATAACTGCGGCAAGGCACTCACGAGGCTCCTGCCCAGACAGCTGCCTGCCGGGAGGGGCCTACTCCTCGTCATCCAGTGTCCCATGGACTCTGGTGGGCTCAGAGGGGAGCTGTCCAAGCTTGGGTAGGAGCAGCAGGGGCTGAGACAGCACAGGGCCTGCACCCAACACCTCCCGGTTCTCCTGTTACTCTCCGGATGGTATCTGCTCATCTCTGTTCTCGTTTGGTCCCCCAGATGCAGACCCTGAGACAAGTATCCTAGGACAAACGGTTTTACTTGGAAGGTGGCTTCAGGTAGAACAGTGGAGTGGGCAGGCACAGAACCGTGAGTTATGAGGAAACTGATCAAGATGGACTCAAGAGCAGCTCCTTTCCCGATACCTCCAGGACACTCCAGGACACGGAGGATCCCAGAGGATCCCAGAGGATCCCCCACACAGAGTGGATAGGGGTGTGGCACTGTCTGCACCTGCAAGTCCTTGATTGAGGACACTCCTGGAAATCTGAACCTCAGTTCATGTGGCCGCTATTTTTCCACATCACAAACCCTCGAAACAAGAAGTTACTGTTGGTAGGGACATGGTAGTGCAAGGCCTTTAATCCCAGCTCTCTGGAGGCAGAGGCAGGTGAATCTCTGTAAATTCAAGGTCAACCTGGTCTACAGAGTGAGTTGCAGGACAGCCAGGGCTACAGAGTAAGACCCTGTCTCAAAAAAAAAAAATGACTACAGTCACATGAAAACCCCAAGTGCCCAAGTGAGAGGTGCTAAAGCCCTGCCTGCTATATGTCAGGTCTCATGAGGGTTTCTCAGCTGTGCCTAGCCCAGTACCAGACAGTCGGGGTTCAGATCTATGGTCTGAGTTCGTTTCTGAAGCCCAAAAAAGCATGAGAATCAGACAGTCACACTAGGGACAGAAAGAAAGACCCTCGCCCAGTCTTACTTCCATTACCTGTATGTGGGCCCCTCTAGGCCTTGCCCAGGGCACACGCATTCATTCATGAGCATGTGACACGGGCATGAGTGCCTGCTCCTTCCCCCTTGATTTTTAACACTCCTTTGCCTTCGGTCTCTGATCAGGAAGTGTGTTTGGAATTGTGGTCCACAGAGTAGTGGGGGTTCTGCTCTTCAGCACTGCAAGTTGGGCTGGTAGAATAAGAATGAGGTTGAGGGACAAACCACTTCCTGTTGCCTGCAAGCCAAGATGTAGGACATTCAGCCACTTCTCTAGCGCCATGTCTGCCTGCACGCCACCATGTCACACCGCGAAGATAATGGCCTAAACCTCAGAAAACATAAGCCACCCCAATTAAATGCTTTTCCTTCATAAGAGTTGTTATGATCATGGTGTCTCTTCACAACAGTGGAGACCCTAAGACAGTGATTTAGCAGTGTAAAGGTAAGCCAAATAAACCTTTTCCTCCCCCACCAAAAAAAAAAAAAAGAGGTTGATCCTTTGTGTCTAAGATGTATCATCGTCTTTCTTTTTCCCCCTCCTCCTTTTTTTGGGGGTGGGGGATGTATCTCCTTAAAATGTGTTCCTAGAGCTGAGATTTATGATTTTCAGCATGTTTATGACTCTGAACACAGTTCACGATTTCATTCCTCAAGCTAAATGAGGATTATCAGAAGATTATCAGATTCTGTTACTGGTATCTAGCTAAGGGTCAGTCCCAACCCTTGAACAACAGACACTCGGTGACGCCAGCAAGCACAGTGTCTCACCACACTCTCACCCAATCATGCATTCTGTTTGCCAGGCTTCACTAACTTAGTAACTGTAGCATGATAAAAAGATACCTCGGGGTTTGGAGGGAAAGCCTGGTATCAGGACTGAACCTAGGACTTGTATGTGGTAAGCATGTGATAAACCACTGAACTATACAGCCAGTCAGGAGATCTCATTTTTAACTTATTTTTATTATTCATACAATTACCTATAGCCATGATGTAGTTCAGCAGCAGTTCAGAGCAGTGTTTCACACGACACGAGGTGGAGGGGGGCAGCTTAGGGTTGGGGCAAGGCAGTCATCTGGGACCAGGTCATTGTTTGCTTGGCAGGACCTGAAGAGGAGAAGAAAGTTCACTCTCTGACTTCTCTGTACTCCAGATGCACTCAGAGTTTGGGGTCCATGTGGAAAGGCAGGGAAAAAAGAAGGCGACATTGCCAAGCTAATCAATCACCTGTTGTGTTATGTTTTATTCTTTGGACTCTGGGGTAGAGGGCACCACCAGCTCCCAAATAAATCACACAGAGGCTTGTTCTTAGCTATGAATGTTCGGTCTTAGCTTGTTTCTTGCCAGCTTTTCTTATCTTAAATTATTCTGCCTCTGGACTTTTATCTTTCTTTCTTGTTTATCTTACTTTCCTTCTCACTCCACGGCTGGCTGGGTGGTTGATCCCTGCCATACTCCTCTCCTTGTTCTCTTGCTCCTTGTTCTCGGTTCTCCTTCTGCTTATCCTCTCTGCCTGCGAGCCCTGTCTGTCCTTGCTCCTGCCTCGCTATGGATCGCTCATCTCTTTATTAGACCATCAGGGTTTTTTTTAATACATTTTTATTGATATTTATTGAGCTCTACATTTTTCTCTGTTCCCCTCCCTGCCTCTTCCCTCTCCCCTTCAATCCTCCCCCAAGGTCCCCATGCTCCCAATTTACTCAGGAGATCTTGTCTTTTTCTACTTTCTCCTTCCCATGTAGATTAGATCTATGTAAGTCTCTTTTAGTGTCCGTATTATTGTCTAAGTTCTCTGGGATTGTGGTTTGTAGGCTGGTTTTCTTTGCTTTATGTTTCAAAACCACCTACGAGTGAGTACATGTGATAATTGTCTTTCTGTGTCTGGGTTACATCACTCAAAATAATGTTTTCTAGCTCCATCCATTTTCCTGCAAAATTCTAGCTGTAGCTATTTTTTTTTCTGCTGTGTAGTACTCCATTGTGTAAATGTAACACATTTTCCTTATCCAGTCTTCGATCGAGGGGCATTTAGGTTGTTTCCAGGTCCTGGCTATGACAAACAAAGCTGCTGTGAACATAGTTGAGCACATGTCCTTGTGGCACGATTGAGCATCCTTTGGATATATGCCCAAAAGTGGTATTACTGGGTCTTGAGGAAGGTTGTTTCCTAGTTTTCTGAGAAATTGCCACATTGACATCCAAAGGGGTTGTACCAGCTTACATTCCCACCAGCAATGCAGAAGTGTTCCTTTTTCCCCACAACCTCTCCAGCACACGTTGTCATCAGTGTTTTTGATCTTGGCCATTCTTGCAGGTGTAAGATGGAATCTCAGAGTTGTTTTGATTTGTATTTCCCTGACAACTAAGGATGTTGAACATTTCCTTAAGGGTCTTTCAGTCATTTTAGATTCCTCTGTTGAGAGTTCTCTGTTTAGGTCTGTACTCCATTTTTTTTTAAATTGGATTATGTGATCTTTTGGTGTCCAGTTTCTTGAGTTCTTTGTATATTTTGGAGATCAGACCTCTGTCTGATGTGGGGTTAGTGAAGCCCATTTCTGTAGGCTGTTGTTTTGTCTTGTTTACTGTGTCCTTTGCTTTACAGAAGCTTTTCAGTTTCAGGAGGTCCCATTTATTAATTGTTTCTCTCAGTGTCTGTGCTGCTGGGGTTGTATTTAGAAAGTGGTCTCCTGTGCCATTGTATTCAAGTGTACTTCCCACTTTCTTTTTTATGAGGTTCAGTGTGGCTGGCTGAGGTCTTTGATTTATTTGGACTTGAGTTTTGTGCATGGTGATGGAGATGGGTCTATATTCATTTTTCTACATGTTGATATCCAGTTGTGCCAGTGCCACTTGTTAAAAATTCTTTCTTTTTTCCATTTGATATTTTTTTGCTTCTTTATCAAAGATCAGGTGTTTGAAGGTGTGTGGATTGATATCCAGGTCTTCTATTCGGTTCCATTGGTCCCCCTGTCTGTTCTTATGCCAATAGCAGGCTGTGTTCAGTACTGTAGCTCTGTAGTAGAGTTTGAAGTCAGGGATTGTAATGCCACCAGAAGTTCTTTTATTGTACAGGATTGTTTTGGTTATCCTGGGTTTTCTTTTTCTTTTCCATATGAAGTTGAGTACCGTTCTTTCAAGATCTTTGAAGAATTTTGCTTGGATTTTGATTAGCATTGCACTGAAGACCATCAGGTGTTTTAGACAGGCAAAGAATCACAGCTTCACAGAGTTAAGCAAATGCAGTGTAAAGAAAAGCTCACACACATGAAAATAACATCCTCCAACAGTTCCCCACATTATCTTGGCTGACCATCGTGAATGTGAGTGGTCACAGTGCCAGCTTT